GATTTCGCCTACTGAGATCGAGAAAACCATAAACAAGCTCCCCTTGAACAAATCACCAGGTAATGACGGTTTCACCAATGAATACTATAAGACGTTCGCACCCCACCTCAAGCCACACCTCTCGGTTCTTTATAACTTTGTTGCCTCTAAAGGGGAATTTCCCTCTGATATGCTACAATCAATAATTACTACGATCCCGAAACCAGGTAAAGACTCCCAATTAGTTCAAAACTATAGACCAATTTCTTTGCTTAACACAGATCTAAAAATATATGCCAAGATAATAGCTCAACGACTGCTTCACATACCTTCCCATCCTAATCCACTCTGACCAAGTAGGATTCATACCAGGCAGACAGGCCCCTGACGCGACTCGACGAATCATATCACTATTACACCCACCTTGAAACTGATAATCAACCCTCACTCCTCCTATCACTTGACACAGAAAAAGCATTTGAACCGCATTCACTGGCAATTCATGACGCTTACCCTCCAAAAATTTGGAATTACGGATTGGATGTTGTCTGCAATTTTATCCCTATATTCCAAACCCTCCGCTAGAGTTCTCACCAACGGCACGCTCTCGCAACCGTTCCAAATCTCCAACGGTACTAGACAGGGATGCCCTCTTTCCCCCATAATCTTCACTTTACTTATTGAACCACTGGCATCCAATCTCAGAAATGACCCCAGTTTCTCAGGAATCAAATTCCTTAAACATGAACACAAAATCAGTCTCTTTGCGGATGACATTATTCTAATGATCACAAACCCCTGTAAATCACTTACCGCGATACGCACCCACTTACAAAAGTACGCAGACGTTTCATACTATAAACTCAACGAAACCCAAGTCATCTATCTTAAACCTGTACACTCCTGCTCCACTCCAAAACCTGCTTACCAAACGATTCCCTTTTAAATGGGAAAAACATAATATCCCCTACCTGGGGATTAAACTGTCTGCCAACACTAATCAACTCTATGCAGCTAATTTTAAACCGCTACTAGATACAATTCCACAGGAGCTTAGAAACCTACGTACGGCTACCCTATCAATGCTAGGCAGAATAGCAACTATCAAAATGTGCATATTGCCTAAAATATTATATTTCTTCCGAGCGTTGCCCATTCCTATACCATCCTCCTTCTTTTCCTCACTTCAGAAAATTCTGAATAACTTTATATGCTTTCCAAACGGCCGAGGTGCACCACAAACCTCCTGATACGTCCGCCCTCCAGAGGGAGCCGTCTCCCGCATCTAAAATCCTATTACCAAGCGGTCTTACTAGACCAGCTCTCTACTGGTGGAACCCTACTCCAGACAAAACCTGACGATCATGGAAACCTCCCTACACTCCCCAGGCACATTAAGAGACCTACTTTTCAAGCCCATGTAGATCAAACTAGACCCCCTACATACACATCCATGTATCCAACAGGCCTCTATGATGGTTTAGCGTGATTTTTGACCTACACAACTAACCAGCGCATTCCACAAAAAACTAACCTACGAATCCCTACCCCATTGTCATCCCTACATTTTTTTCCCCCCCCCAATTGAACTTGACATCTTGGCAAGCGTGCGGCATATATCATATCCAAGATCTTTACAATCTTCAAAAACCAGACTCCTTTCGGACTCTCCAAGAGAGATTCCATCTCCCTGATAAAGAGCGATTCACCTTTATGCGAATAACACACTTGCTACATAAAACAAACATACCACTTGAAATAGACTTTCCTGCTACTGCCCACCATTTTCCTACATAGGACTATCTATCCAAAGAAGGGGATATCCACGTTCTATACTTTGCTAATTGAAGCGCAATTCATAACCCAAACGTCCTCCCTGACTAACTGGGAGAGCAATTTTACCTCTCCAATATCCTCACAATCCTGGAAAACAGCGTTTACTATCACATACAAAGCCTCCAAGTGTAGCTCACATTGGGAATCATACCTGAAAATTCTCCACCAATGCTACCTAACCCCTGCTAAACTATCTGTATACTACCCACAACAATCACAAGCCTGTTGGAGACAGTGTGGCGAAACTGGCTCACTTTTCCACTTACTATGGTCGTGTAAATCCATTAAATCGTATTGGAATAAAGTATTCCAAATAATTTCTTCAATTATAGATTCACCAATGACCCAAATCCCAATCTAGCCCTTCCTTCACTTAACTATAGAAACATTCCCCATACGTCTCACGCACTATTATAGTACACATCCTGGCAGCAGAAAAGATAAACATTACTAAATTATGGCAGTCTACGTCACCTCCCCTATTGTCCGTCTCCTTGTGGATCTCAATCTACAACGTAGAGATGGAACGAAGAACGGCTCTCCGAAACTCCACTTATCAAAAATTCATATTGCAATGGTCCCGATGGTTTAAACATCCCAATTGCTCACTCACCTGATTACTAATCCCAACTCATACTGGATCTTATACCGTAGCTTACTGGTACCCCCTCCCTCCCCCCCCCCCCATATTCTTCTTAACCCCTTTCTTTCCACCCCTACCTAGTTCCATTTGTGTTAAGTTCTTCCACAAGGTTCAGGGAACGCGAGCATACCTCTCATGTAAGCATGATTACGATCAACAGGTCCCCCGGCCCGCGTGGTGGGGACCTACCACCTCCTCACTCAACTCATAGATTGTACACTTGTTTTTGTGAACCTTGTATTACAATGTTTATACATGATGTTACCTTGTTTAAGATTCTGAAAATTTCAATAAAAACTATTTGAAATAAAAAACTCTTTGGTTTGCTTTTGCAGTCTGCTTTGGGTCATTGTCCATCTGCACTGTGAAGCGGCGTCCAATGAGTTGTGAAGCATTTGGCTGAATATGAGCAGATAATATTGCCCAAACACTTCAGAATTCATCCGGCTGCTTTTGTCAGCAGTCACATCATCAATAAATACAAGAGAACCAGTTCCATTGGCAGCCATACATGCCCACGCCATGACACTACCACCACATGCTTCACTGATGAGGTGGTATGCTTAGGATCATGAGCAGTTCCTTTCCTTCTCCATACTCTTCTCTTCCCATCACTCTGGTACAAGTTGATCTTGGTCTCATCTGTCCATAGGATGTTGTTCCAGAACTGTGAAGGCTTTTTTAGATGTTCGTTTGGCAAACTCTAATCTGGCCTTCCTGTTTTTGAGGCTCACCAATGGTTTCCATCTTGTGGTGAACCCTCTGTATTCACTCTGGTGAAGTCTTCTCTTGATTGGTGACTTTGACACACATACACCTACCTCCTGGAGAGTGTTCTTGATCTGGCCAACTGTTGTGAAGGGTGTTTTCTTCACCAGGGAAATAATTCTTCGTTCATCCACCACAGTTGTTTTCCGTGGTCTTCCAGGTCTTTTCGTGTTGCTGAGCTCACCGGTGCGTTCCTTCTTTTTAAGAATGTTCCAAACAGTTGATTTGGCCACGCCTAATGTTTTTGCTATCCTCTGATGGGTTTGTTTTGTTTTTTTCAGCCTAATGATGGCTTGCTTCACTGATAGTGACAGCTCTTTGGATCTCATCTTGAGAGTCGACAGCAACAGATTCCAAATGCAAATAGCACACTTGAAATGAACTCTGGACCTTTTATCTGCTCATTGTAATTGGGATAATGAGGGAATAACACACACCTGGCCATGGAACAGCTGAGAAGCCAATTGTCCCATTAATTTTGGTCCCTTAACAAGTGGGAGGCACATATGCAAACTGGTGTAATTCCTACACCGTTCACCTGATTTGGATACCCTCAAATTAAAGCTGACAGTCTGCAGTTAAAGCACATCTTGTTCGTTTCATTTCAAATCCATTGTGGTGGTGTATAGAGCCAAAAATGTTAGAATTGTGTCGATGTCCCAATATTTATGGACCTGACTGTACACACATTTTCCTTCAGCAGGGCTAAGGTTTGTTGGGCTAGAGGAATCGGCACCCATGATTAATCTATGAAACATATTTTAATATGTACTGTGCTACCTGGGTACCTTTTGCAAACTTGCAGTCTTGATAAAGAGGTTATGGCAAAGTCATTATTAGTTGTGAATGCTTTTGTTGTTACCAAACATAACCATTTTTAGTAAATAAGTACAGCTAGTCTGGGCGTTGTGAGCACCCCATGTGTAGAACAGGCTTTCTCAGCCAGGGTGCCTTTAGGTATCTTCAGAGATTGTCAGGGCTCCGGGAATGACCAGAGGTGTGTGGACCGACACAGGGAAACACAGACTTCAGGTATAGCATGTAAACAAGATCATTTATTAAGGACAACACAAACAAACACAGTGCAACAAACCCAAAACTAACACAAATACATACAACAAGGTGAAACAAACCCAAACCTAAACTGATATATATATATATATATATATATATGTATGGAGCACAACGTAGTCAGGCGGGCCGGGTCGGTAGCAAACAGGGTACCAGGAGCGAGCGGAAGAGTGGTCAGGAATAGCCGAGGTCAGGACAGGCGGAGTTCGTTCAGAGTCAAGATCAAAGCAGGATCAGGCAGGAAGCAGACAGGATGCAGGTACAGGGGCTCATGGGAAACATACACCAAGGCACTGATCACAGGCCTGGTCCTGCTTAAATACACCTCCTGCAATCAGCCTCAGGTGATGGCCTGATTGCAGGAGTGAGATTCTGGCTGCTGAGAGCACCCGCTGGCCAGTCTTGGTACTGCAGCCCACAAGGCAGGTGAGTCCCACCACCATTGGCAAGTCCATTCCTGACAGAGATGCCTTGGCAAAATGCTTACAATATTCCCAAAAATTGTATAGCCAGTGTTGTCTTATCTCAGTTGGAGGATGAATGTATTTTTATAAATGTATTTTCCTGCAGGAACTAGTCCAACAGTTCTTTTCTAGAGAGATGCATTTAATCAGCTCAGAAACAATTAATAAAACAGAGGTACAGACAAGGCAGATGACAGGGTACTTTAGAATATTCACGCAATCATCAGAAACTTTCAGAGCAGGGGCGGACTGACCATTCTGAAACTCTGGCACTGCCAGAGGTCAGTAGGGGGCCCCATGAGATGCCCCTGGTACCTTTTTTTCATAGGCTTTTTTGAGTTTGGGCAAGGACACAGGGGCCCCATGATCCCCTATTGCCCGGGGGGCCCCATGAGTTTAACTCCGCTCCTGCTTCAGAGAACCCAATTTCTCCTGACCCAACTCAACCAAAAAACCTTCCCTAATATACACCTTTTCCCATTGACCAAAGTGTTGAGCTATCTGATTGGTTGGTTTTTCATGAGCATGTTTAATCCTATGTGTCTTATGTGTCTAGACCTAGAACAGCTATATGCATAGATTTTAATTAAAAAGTTAAATATATACTCCTTGTCCTGTTTATGGCAAAACTGCTCTCTTCACCATAAACAAGTACATTATGAATATTTAAGACCTTTCCCAATCTAATCAGACAGACTTACATTTACAATGCTGGTAGATTTGCAGATAACCTTCTCTGAAACTCCCCAATTCTCCACAACAAAAAACAGGTTAACCCAACATAACAAAAGGTCAGGTAATTACCTTATGCATACATTACAATATCCTAAAGCCAGCGGGAGGATAAGGTCTGCATTGTAGTTACACAAAGTCACAGGTTTTCATTGTGTTCCATTACAACCTTCTAATCTCTGGCATTCTAACAACCAATGACATCATCAATTGACAAGGAGAATGTTTGTACCTGGACAGCATCCTGGTTTGCCACTCTCTTTCCTCTTCTTATCATTCGCTTAGTGAGGGAAAGAAAATGAGGGAGAAGAGAAACATTGGAATACTAGTCAGTACCAGTGTGCAAAGGTGTATTTGCATTGTATAAATAAACCCCCTCCTAATACTGGGTGTCATACATGGTGGATGTTGCTGCATTATGTAAAACAGTTTCTTTTTCTACATTTTAAAATGGGGTGCCTTGAGATTGTGCAGAATTTTAAAAGGTGCCCTAAAGGAGATGTATAGCCAAAGCTATTTTAGCTACAGTGGGGATGGAAAGTTCGGGCACCCCAGCTAAAAATTTGTATTAATGTGCATAAAGAAGCCAAGGAAAGATGGAAAAATCCTCCAAAAGGCATCAAATTACAGATTAGACATTCTTATATGTCAACAAAAAAGTTAGATTTTATTTCCATCATTTACACTTTCAAAATAACAGAAAACAAAAACATGGCGTCTGCAAAAGTTTGGGCACCCTGCAGAGTTAATATCTTGTACTGCCCCCCCCTTTGGCAAGTATCACAGCTTGTAAACGCTTTTTGTAGCCAGCCAAGAGTCTTTCAATTCTTGTTTGAGGTATCTGTGCCCATTCTTCCTTACAAAAGTCTTCCAGTTCTTTGAGATTTCTGGGCTGTCTGTCACGCACTGCTCTTTTAAGGTCTATCCATAGATTTTCAATTATGTTGAGGTCAGGAGATTGTGAAGGCCATGGCAAAACCTTCAGTTTACGCCTCTTGATGTAATCCCCCGTGGATTTCGAGGTGTGTTTAGGATCATTATCCATTTGTAGAAGCCATCCTCTCTTTAACTTCAGCTTTTTCACAGATGGCATCAAGTTACCATCCACAATTTGCTAAAATTTTATTGAATCCATTTTTCCTTCTACTCGTGAGATGTTCCCTGTGCCACTGGCTGCAACACAACCCCAAAGCATGATTGATCCAACCCCATGCTTAACAGTTGGACAGAGGTCCTTTTCATTCAATTCTGTGCCCCTTCTTCTCCAAACGTACCTTTGCTCATTCCGACCAAAAAGTTAAATTTTAACCTCATCGGTCCACAGAACTTGTTTCCAAAATGCATCAGGCTTGTCTATATGTTCATTTGCAAAGTTCAAACGATGATTTTTGTGGTGAGGACATAGAAGAGGTTTTCTTCTGATGACTCTTCCATGAAGACCATATTTGTACAAGTATCTCTTTATAGTGGAATAGTGTACCACAACTCCAGTGTCTGCTAGATCTTTCTGGAGGGATCGTGCAGTCAAACGTGGATTTTGAATAGTTTTTCTCACAATCCTGCGAGCTGTTCTGTCTGATATTTTTCTTGGTCTTCCAGATCTTGCTTTAACTTCCACTGTTCCTGATGACTGCCATTTCTTAATTACATTCCGAACAGAGGATATTGACATCTGAAAACGCTTTGCTATCTTCTTATAGCCTTCTCCAGCTTTGTGAGCATCAACTATTTTCAGTTTCAGTTTTCTAGACAACTGCTTAGAAGAACCCATGGTGCTGATTGTTGGGGCAAGGTCAGACGAGTCTGGGCATTTAAAACCTTTGAGATTGACATAACCTGGTCTTTCCCAGACGATGATTGAGAACAATCAATGACACTGGCAGGTCTCAGCTTTGCAAAGGGGGCAGTGCATGCTATAAATTCTGCAGGGGGCCCAAACTTTTGCAGACGCCATTTTTCTGTTTTTTTTTAGTTTGAAAGTATAAATGATGGAAATAAAATCTAACTTTTGTTGACATATTATAAGAATGTCTAATCTGTAATTTGATGCCTTTTGGAGGATTTTTTTTTCCATCTTTCCTTGGCTTCTTTATGCACATTAATACAAATTTTTAGCTGGGGTGCCCGAACTTTCCATCCCCACTGTAGCTAAAATAGCTTTGGCTATACATCTCCTTTAGGGCACCTTTTAAAATTCTGCACAATCTCAAGGCACCCCATTTTAAAATGTAGAAAAAGAAACTGTTTTACATAATGCAGCAACATCCACCATGTATGACACCCAGTATTAGGAGGGGGTTTATTTATACAATGCAAATACACCTTTGCACACTGGTACTGACTAGTATTCCAATGTTTCTCTTCTCCCTCATTTTCTTTCCCTCACTAAGCGAATGATAAGAAGAGGAAAGAGAGTGGCCAACCAGGATGCTGTCCAGGTACAAAAATTCATTCTCCTTGTTAATTGATGATGTCATTGGTTGTTAGAATTCCAGAGATTAGAAGGTTGTAATGGAACACAATGAAAACCTGTGACTTTGTGTAACTACAATGCAGACCTTATCCTCCCGCTGGCTTTAGGATATTGTAATGTATGCATAAGGTAATTACCTGACCTTTTGTTATGTTGGGTTAACCTGTTTTTGTTGTGGAGAATTGGGGAGTTTCAGAGAAGGTTATCTGCAAATCTACCAGCATTGTAAATGTAAGTCTGTCTGATTAGATTGGGAAAGGTCTTAAATATTCATAATGTACTTGTTTATGGTGAAGAGAGCAGTTTTGCCATAAACAGGACAAGGAGTATATATTTAACTTTAAATTTAACTGCCTTTTGGAGATTTTTCCATCTTTCCTTGGCTTCTTTATGCACATTAATACAAATTTTTAGCTGCGGTGCCCAAACTTTCGATCCCCACTGTATACTTCCATTTGTAAAGCTTGCAGTTGTCTGACATCACAAAACTGGTCCAGGCTTTGAAACTATCCCAAACATACAGTCAGGTCCACCCAGACTCCTGGACTGGCAGCTGGCTCACCCAAGGCTCGCTGAGAGCCTATGCCAGCCACTCCTGCCCCCTTCTCAGCCCAGCACTCAAGTGAGCACTGGAGGGGCAGAGAAGGGAGAACCTGAAGACCAAGTGATCAGTGGTCTTTCATCACTCAGTTTTCAATGGGGCAGATGCAGCATCGGATGGGCATGGGGCAGATGCAGCATTGGATGGGCATGGGGCAGATGCAGCATCGGATGAATGCTGCATCCACCTAGGTGAATATATTTTTTTCCCATGCTTCTCTTTAAACTGAAAAATATTTTTAAAAATACTGGTGTAGGGGATATACCAGTCTCAGGTTAAGCGCAGGTCCTAATCACATCTGCATGTTTTTGGATGCGTAGTTGGTTCAGTGTGTGGTATGTGTTTTACATTGTTTGTTACCTAGAGTTCAAGGAAAAAGCATATAAAAACAAATGTTTGCTGAAATCTCATCATAGATGTGGCTAGAAAAAATGTTTTTGTCAGGATCCATCGTGGAGCGCGGCTCTGCGCAGGCGCAGTGTGCTGATTCGCATTAGCGTGCGGGCACTAGGTCCTGGGCGGCCGCGACGGCGGTGGCACTCGCGCATGCGCACTCGGGATCGTGGGCGCGCGCGCCTGGCGCCAATGACAGTGCAGGGCACGCTATTTAAATCCGCTCTGCACTGACACTGGTTGCCGTATGGTCTTATCTGCCTGTTCCTAGTTACTAGTTGATTGTTGCCAACCCTGCTTGATTCTGACCGTGCTGTCTTCTCCTGCCCTGACCCCTGGCCTGTTTGACTTCTCTTTGGATACCCCCATTGGAAGTGACCTCCTGTTACTGACCCGGCAAGTGACCCGACTATTTTGTGCCTGCTGCCTTGTACTGCGCTGTCCCCACAGTTACCGACCCAGCCTGTCTGACCACGCTTCTGCTCAGCCATCCATCCATCTGTCCTGCATGGACCCATCCACCTCTTCACGTCAGGCTCTTCTCCAGAATATACCTCTGGCGGATCCCTCTACCACGGGTGGGTGTACTCAGGGGCTGCAACCTGGTCTCTGTCTGCTCCAAGTCCATCCCCACCATCAGGGGCCCTGGTGAACAAGCAGACTGGGACTTAGACTCCGCGCTCTGGGGAATCCTATTCCATGGGTTGCTAGAGGTACCGCCAGGCGGTGCATTACAGTTTTCCAACGCACTGCACTGAAAATGTACCTAAAATACACAGATGTGATCAGTAATTGTAAGGTTCCTTAGTATATATCTGGGGGCATATAGGTATATAGGGTCAGACTGGGCACAAGGAAAGGTACTATGAGGTCTATTTAACCACTTCCAGACCGGACACTTTTTACCCCCTTCCTGTCCAGGGCAATTTTCAGCTTTCAGCACTATCACACTTTGAATAACAATTGCGCGATCATGCAACACTGTACCCAAATGAATTTTTTACCATTTTTTTTGAGACAGATAAAGCTTTATTTTGGTGGTATTTATTCACTGCAGGGATTTTTTTTTTTTGCTATATAAAATGAAAAAGTCCAAACATTTTGAAAAAAAGTGTCTTTTTATAAAATTTTGCAAATAAATAATATTTCATCATAAATCTTGGCCAAAATTTATTCCGTTATCTTTTTAGTAAAAAAAAATAAAAAATCCAA